CACGCATTCAACTCACTGTTACAGGTGAACGATGATGCCCAAACCCGGCTCCGCGGATGCAAATTGGTCAGCTGTTGAATTTAGCAATGATTGATGTCGCGTCGTCTGTCACCGGTACCGTCATCTTCGTGTTGTTTTTCATTCGTTGCGTTCGAGTTTCTTGGTACTGTTTGTCCGAGAGATTGCAAGACTTTACTGTTTTAGTTGAACCGGGGGAATTGACTTTTCTCGTTACATTCGTTGGGAAATAGCATTCGTTACGAATTCATTACAAATAGTGTTGTTTCTGGTTTGTATTTTGATAAGAATATTTTGTTTGCTGGTCGAAAATAAAATTGACTAGGGTACAAATCGATGGTTGAACCAGGACGAATGATAGCCAAGTTCACCGACATCCGCCACGTCTTATGACGGTACTTCGAAGTTATTGGAAGTTTCCACGAATTCTTTCCACTGAATACATTAACCCTTTGCTCCTTGGGTTTGCCCCTGGGGCACTAGCATTTTAGTGTTCTATCTCGAGCACGACCACCCGTGAGCCAGCTATGCTAAAACTGGACTTGATTTCAGTAAAATTTTGTGGAACGTGTAGAACGATGCAGATATTAGTTATATGCACTTGCATTTATTATTATCATACTTCGGGTCCTCAATAAACCGGTTTTACTAACATGGTATACACGGACGGGAGGGGGGCCGTCAGCTGCTTAATTAGAAGTTAAAGGAGCATGTCAGTCTGGCAATTCGTCCTTTTATTGCTCGAACCAGTTCCAGTTTGCTTTGTTTTCCAAACTCTCTCAAACAAAGCTTCAGCGACGCTGCATTGTATGCCCATTAATCGTGAATCCACATTATAACAGGCGAAGCAAATGATCATCAAAACAAATTAATTTTGCGAGTACCCATTCGCAAAACTCGAACTCGTCGCGGGGTACAATAAAACAGTTTCTTTGGCGCCCACAAACAAAAGAACATCGGCTTCTGGCAAGGGGCTCTCGAACCAGAAATGTCATCAGCGAGTTCCATTTGTTTGTATTATAATATTATACCGGGTAGACGATAAATTTCCCGACAGGCTTTGTCGACGTACAACAGCATCGCCACTTTTCAAATCGTCCCCCAGCCTTGAGTTTTCCGGCGCACACGGAACGTTCCGTTCCCCGACCGGCTTTTTAAGTAATTATATTTCAGGTTCCGCGCAGTCAGAAATCATTGCGCGGCCCCGATGGGGCAGGGCGAAGCGAAGGAGAGATTGAAAGAAAACCTGTGCCAAACGGCGAACAGTCGAGCCAGCGAAAGTTTCGCTCAATTGGTTTGTGTCGGCCCGGTCGCCTGCCTTTTCGTCGAAGAGGAGAGCAGAGCCCGGGCGTCCGAAACTGCTTCGTCTCGACGCCCGTCGCTGGCGGCTCCTATGGCGTTCTTCCCTCTGATCGCTTTCCTCATCTTCCCCGCGCTGCCCCACGCCAGTGTCGGTCCATCCTGGCGTCGTTTAACTCAGACCATTATCCGTATACCACGATTATAGGGCAACGGGACCGACAAACAGGCTTGGGCCAGACCCCCTGGCACCCTCTTCGCAACCTCTTTCTTCCCACCTCCCCGCCCCTCTTCCTGCATACAACTCCAAGTCCGCATCCTTTCCCTCGTTCTCCCTTCGTCGTCCGTCTGGCCGCGGCGAGCCGCACCGTCACCGACTACGCAAACAAACCCGTGTGGCGCACCGGCCAACATAACTTAACAATCCTCCTCCAACTCCCTTTTGCCTCTGCCGGTTGTCATACTTTCGCCCCCTCCACCGACGTCGGGACGCACCACTTTCTGCGGTGTGCGGCTGTTGTTGCCGCGAGAACCCGATCGCGCGACGATGCAACCGCGCGGCGCGGCTCGTCGGCACCGCCACCCAGTTGCATCGGCCGGCGTAGCTGCACGATTGCTGCTCTCCGAGCCTTCGGCCACCTCCTTGTTTTTGTCTTTCCCTGAAAACGACGCTACGCATTATAGAAACGATACTTCCCGCAAATTATTATGGTTTTGTAGTAGTTCTTGATAATTGTTTTTCGGCCCGAGTTTATGTCTGGACCGTATAATGGACCGGTTCCTCGTGCCTTTTTATTTCCACGATGCTCCCTCTCTCTCTTACTCTCTCACGCTCTCTTTCTCTTTTTCACTGTCGGTCGCCGGATCGATGCTTCGCGAGTTTTTGCCGTGGCTCGATGCATGTCTCGTCGGCACGATACATTTACATGGGATTTATACACAGTCATTTTTAGTAGCGTTACCTCTGGCAACGGAATCTAATTTTGTAAACTTCGAACGAATTGTAATGGCATACCGATTTACATTGTTTCCTCTTTTTAAATATAAGATAGTCAAAAGCACGTGCTCGTGTTTTACTATGCAGTTTGCATACCTTTCCGAGATTAGCTTTATCGTTTCTCGAAGTTCAAATAAGTTATTATCCCAACGAAACAGAAACGATCAAATAATCATTGGATTACTAAGGACGCGGTCCTTCGAAGATCGTAAGTTAGGGTTAATTTTCAATAATCGATATGTGCATCAGGTGCGGCGCAGGTAACGCGTGGCCGGGGAATACCTATGCGGCGTATCAGCCGGTAAAGAAACTTGAGGACTCTGCAAAAATTAGTATCGACGGGAACTTAACCTCTTCACCGCTACGATCTCATCGGATCGGGAGGCGTCACGAAAATATCGTGAATTAGTGGGAACTTAGATCCGAGCTAGTTTGATCGTACATTAATCTGTCTTGCGTAATGAACCGACTTATCCATTAATAATAACGATAAGATTACTCCCGTTTAGTCCGGTTGCGCTGTAACGTAGGCGAAACAGCGCGTAACGATGCCTCGGGTCGTGCTGAGGACGAGCGTAGGCTACATACGGGCTAGATCGTTCGTACGTTAGTTCCTCGGCTATCAAAGCGGCCCACGGTCACGCGGTGAAGTGTACACGTTCTCCAAACCCGTCGGTTCCGTTGCACTACTAACTGGTAGCCAGCTCATTCCCCGATTAACGCCGCCGTAGTGTTGCCAGCCGACGATCGAAATATGGGCGCAGCTTCGAACGCGACATACTTAGGGCTTGATCTCAGCACGCAGCAGGTAAATCACTGGAAAAAAGAATCGCATAGCTTCGCCGAAGCCGCTTTTCGCCGCGCATCCTGCGTCACTTTCTAGTGAGCGATCCTCGCGACGTACGACACGCTTTCCCGTCGAACAAAAACGCTTACAGTCAACGCGTGTCATGGATGACAATCTCGGCCATTCAAGGCACATTTCCCTTGTTCCCCTCCGCCTCCCGTCATTCATTTTTGTTTCCGCACTTTTTCTCTCTATCCGACCGCTTCGCTGACATTACTTACTGCACGGAAATAGTTCTCGTGGTCACGCAGCAGTAATTCGAAGGAAGCTGACATTAGTTTTGTCCAAAATCGTAGATTATTCTTTTACGTCCAACGGAGCGTTCGGTCACTACCTGCACCGCGCATCTTTCACCGCGCATGCGCCGTTCGACGCGCGTTTCTTTTGAATCTTGAACTTCGTATCGATAGGTGATTTTTTGTTGTTGAAAATAAACATAAAGTAAGGGAAAATTTCAGTCGAATTTTTGAATAATTTTTCAAAATAATTTTTTCCTTCCA